TATCGCTTACCATCCTCCCTTCTCTATTTATCATCCGACTACTCATCTGCTGACTTGTTATTAAATTAATCCTTCGTTTAGTCAAATTGATGCATTGATATCATAGAGCACTCATAACTCACGGCACCCTTTCCGCCACGATTAGTACACGCGCGCAACCGTTTTCACGCGCGACCCCTGATTCAAGCGAGAGAGAAGCAAGGGGGACAACTCTACTCTGCAATTCCCTATTTGCGCCGATGCAGACTCCACTATTTATTAACATCATTACTTATCATTTCAACCACTCGTGCATCACGATGACGTTACGCCGAGATAAATGCATTCTATTCGCGAACGCACGGCGCAAGCTTTATTTAATGGTCACCGACTAGATGCTTCGAATCAATGAGTAACGATCGATTTCTTTCTGATCAGCGCCACGTAGCGAAAGAACATAGAAAGAACTATCGACTTTCGATAGTCGTATGAGAGTCGCGTCGATCATTTGCTGTTAGATCGCTTTCTAAATACGTATGATAAGTAACCAAAAAAAATTGTACCGTTCTTTTATTTTACAACAAAAAGGAAGATGTAAAACATAAAGACTAAAGTTATAATACAACTAATAAAAATAAAGGAATTAGAACGAAGAATATCAAAGTGTATTTGTATATCACTTTCCTTGTTTTATGGTTCTCGCTTAGTTATAATGTAATATGTACGTAATATGTGTCTCATGTCTGTAAAATGTGAAATGAACATTACTGATGATTACTGAGATATGTTTACATTCAATTAGATAGAATCACAGTCGCGTTTTCATCGAAATTTCCATTCAAATCAATGCTGCATTCAGTTATGATATTTTAACCTCTCTGCGGTACTTGAACCTTTATGTTCCAATCTTATTTCTGTTTTAACTAGCAAAAAGATTTAATGTTAGAAGAAAAATTTTAGTACGAAACTGAAATGATTGTCGAAAATTTTTTTTAAATGATAAAATACGACTATATATTTCGAAAGTAACTCAAAATAAGTAACAAGACATTAAATATTTCATATAATTGTCATTCATTAAAAGTGCAAATATTAAAAAGGAATCTTGGCCCAAAAATGGTGTATCTACCGCTTTGCATAATATATGATTTTTGAATTCCTATGAATATTGAATATTCATGTACCGCATTACGGGTTAATAATAAACCTTCGATTCCACGAACGACAAAAACGCAAGAAAATAAAAATACGAAAATTAATTTTTGCGAGAAACAATAAAAACGTATGTAGCAGACCTATAATAATAGAAACGCAGCCGAAAGTTTATCATCGAACAGTTTGATTCGATCAATCATGAAACGACAGCGGGCAAATACCGAAATCGGTGGGTCCGGCGTAATTAGTATACGCGATAGAGACGTTGATGGCTGCGGAAGTTTTATTTTCCGTTTCCTCCTCGGACCCGTTTTCAATTTGAATACCGATTAATCTGACCGAATAATCTTACCGTATATTTCGCGCGGTATTCCTCCCGATATTCGTTTGAGGGCATTTTTTAAAACTAAAACGTTCCACTTTATCGTGGCGCGCAGCAATTAATAATAACACGCAATCGGGCGTATCTTTTATAACCTTTCGGAGTATAAATCGCGAAATTCTGGAATTATCAGGCAGCCGGAATGAAAGGCTATTTCCGTCGCACGGAATCACGGGCAATATTTTACGTGGGATTGGGGTTGAACGCGGACACATCGACGTTTGATATTTTTATGCAGTGGCGCCACCGCGGAGAGATTTACGAGGCAGATATGCGATCACAAAATGTCCGACACTAAATCAAACATGTTGCATCGGAAAACATCAGAAATTATTATTGGGACTTTTATGGGATCGACGGGAGCGAAAGGAACGTACAATGTAACTCGACGCGCCGTTTCATTGAGAGTATCTTCCCGGGGATCTATCGCGGAATAAATCGTGATATATTAGGCCCTTCTGTTCTCTCGGTTTTATATCGGACGCAAGAAACTTATAGCTACTTATTCGACTGGCTTTTATAAGTCACTGTTGTGAATACCAATAGTACAAATTGCTTCTTTACTGCCGAAATTAACACTTGTGCCAGTCTTTTCAGACCCAGACCAGGAATAATTTTTCTTTCTTCATCTTTTACGAGTCTAAGATTTCTGGCATTTCTTAAATATGTGTGTATTTCGTAAATTGAATATATGTATATGTATATACGAATATTACGATAGAATAAAAGATGAAATTATGTTTTATCACATTTAAGAGTTTACGTGTATTTATCAGTGCCAATATAAATTTTATTGTTGCGTTTTTCCTGACAGAAAGAACTCCTCCATAAATCCGCAAATATATCTTGTCAATAGCCGTTAATCATTCTCAATAAAAAATAAAACAAGATAAATTTTTTGGCTACTAACAATACTATAAATTTGTACTTAGCACGTGTATAATGCAAATAATTTATTGAAGGGCTGTCTTTCTACGTGTTATTAAAATTTGCATGAAATGGAAAATTTGTTAATGTATGAAATTAAATCTTAATACGAGAGATTACTATTGAAAAACATTTATGTATCTCTGAAAGCAGCTGAAATAGAGTGCGCTATGTTACAGCGAGGATCAATTCTAACTTTGTCGGTACATCAGTTTTAGAATAGATTTCATAGGATAACATACTTAGAAAATATGTATGCACATGTATCATTAACATCACCACCTGCAAAAGGTTCTATAGCATTCTATCCAATCTCTCTAGTGAATTATATAATTATTAGATTGCGGAGTTTTAATGCATTTATGGGAAATTTAAGTGCAAATACGCATAAAATGTATATAACATAGAAAAATATAGAAACTTATCAAAGTACAGCATTCATCATAAAATTAGTGGATGAAACAAATCTACACCTATGTATAGGTTCCATTCTCTTCATTTTGCATAAACATCCGCAATCTAATAATTATACACATAAGTATCATGATCTATGACTATATATTATTAAAATTATAAATAATTGAAAAGGATGAAGAAATTTATACAAATGTGTCAGCTCAATGAAATAAAATCTGCTATATTAGAGCTGTTCTCATACTACTAATGAAGGAACACAAGTTTTCCTACCTTCCATCCCCTCTACTCCGACGGCCCTTTCATTCTTTATCCTTAGAAGAAATAAAGGCAGAGTCGTAATAGTAGGATGATTAATATCCGGCTGACAGTTTGTGAAACGGGCAGCCAATAAACGGGATAAAAATACCGGTGAAAAATAGCGTGCTCATTAGGGGTACAGTGACATCTGCGACTGCTGCGTCGAAAGTCTTCGAGGAGCATGGAAAAGGCTCTTGGACGAAGGGAACAAAGAAGACAGGTTTATTAAACTAATGGCGGATCATTTTAATATTCCAATGGGAGCACGTTGCATTCGCTGACTCGTGGAACTTAATAACTTCTTTCCCGACGATATTATTATCTCTTTTTCTAATCATCATTAAAGTTGATAATTTTCTGCAATTAAGAAAGGTCGTCAAATCAGAATACTTAAAAAATTAAAAAATTATACACATTTCTTTTTTATAAATGTAGTTACAAATTAATTAATGATTTTAATTTTTGGGGCGTGAAATACAATTATAATAATAGTACTGATTTTAAGGAAATTTTAACAGTATGTGAAGTAGAATTTTTTTATTTTGCAAAACGTATAATTAAAAAAGTATTTCCTGCTATTTCTTCTAATTAAATGCTTCGATATTTTAATATACGTTTAAAACATTTTTTAAGTAATTTTTCAAGCAACATGCTTATTTATAAGCTTTTTACTTATTTAACTTTTATCCGTGGTAATTTTTAATTTAAAAATAATAGACTTCGCAGGTGGCGCTCGTTAGTTCCATCAAATATACACAATGTACGAAACTTTCATCGGCTAATAATTTATTATTATATATATTAGTGAAACAAATATATCGGTTATATAATAAAAAATAATACATTTTTTATTGTATCGGGATTTTTCCTTTACGGTAAGAATGGGTGACGGTAAGTCGATTATGGTACTACTACATAGACATAACCTCCTAATCAATTAAATGAATTAAAATCACAATTTTTGTAATGTTTTATCAAAACTTCTAATTTCAATTTATTTGTCTTACAGAAGAAGTAATACGCCGGAGATTACTAATAGATGGAGATGGAATTGGAGATGATCGTCGAATAAACATGCTTTTAAAATCATTTATAAAATGGGCAAATAGTCCAGAAGTAGATAATACTTTGCATGAAAGAATGTTATCCCAGCTAGCTCAATGTGAATTTGCACAACGAAAATCCAGACTAGTTTCAAATATGAGTCAGGAAGAATTAAAAAGCTATGAACAGTTATCAAAAGAAATTGAAATACAAATAGAGGAGGCTAAAAGGGACATAGAGAAAACAAAAGCGGAATTACAAGATGCAAAACGTGTTAGGAAAAATAGAATAGAATATGACGTACTAGCAAAAGTTATAAATGAGCAGCCAGATAGAGTAGAAACCAATTTAAAACTTGCTACATTATGTGAAGAGTTGAGTAAGTTAAAGGTAAGAACCATTGCACCATAATAATTAAGAAAGAGTTTATTTTATTACTATAAACTTAAAATGATTTTCCTGATGTTTAGGAAAAGTCTAAACAATTAGAACACAAATTGGAAATGAGACGTAAACAATTTCATGTCCTAATATCTTCCATACATTCTTTACAAGGAATGTTAGATGAATGCGATGAGGAAATAATGGATGTAAGTTTAGAAAATTATGAAGATACAGATACTTCTACAGCTATAAAGACTGAAACATCTTGAAATGAAATTATTTTGTAAATATTTACAATTTTATAAATGCTTTAATATAATAACACTGCCTTTGTATCTTATATAAAAATTCTCCTTTTCTTTTCAAATATATTGTATAGGTTTGCAAATGTAAAGAAATAAAAACATATTTAATGTTCTCAAACTTTACAAAGTGAAATGTATATATATAAAGATATATTATCCAATTTTTAGTTTTAACTTGCTAGTTTTTGGAACATGTCTAATAGTTAAAGACAACCTAGTTCCCCGTTTTAATATTTCTCCTTCCGAAAATTTGTCTCCACATATACTCAAATTTTTTATCACAGACTTTGAAACAACATCTGTGTCTCTTTCTGCAATTGAATGCAAGTAATTGTGATATAAGTCTCCTTGGAGAATGAATAGACTCCTACGTTCTAACAGAAAACTGAACTCTAAATTAGGTTGATGTTGCTGAAACAAAATTTTGCATGTAATTTATACACATACATACAACTATATTTATAATTATCATCACAACCTCTGTACTGTCAAGCCTTTTATAGAAATCTAGAAGTGTATGAGAGCCACAACTTATGGTTGTTACAATAGGGTGAAAGAGTGGACCATCTGAATGTGCCTAATAAATACAAATTATAATATGCTTTATATCTCGTTATGTATGGATATATATCTTGTTTAATTTGTAACTATACCATTATTCCTTGACCAGATAGATATTCATTAAGTAAAACATGATTAGGTAGTTTATTTTTTTCAAATATATCACATGATGATACTTTATTAACGTATTTTTGGAGCCACTGAAAACTTATTGTTAATATAACAAAATATATGTGTATCAGTTTATTTTAATATTATATAATAAATTCTTTCCATCGTGAGGACATTAGTTATTACAACAAATTATTATAAATACTTACACTTGGTATTTCTTCAGCTATCATGCCTCTTGGATGAGGATTACCACCCCAATTTTGTAATCTACGATGAGTTAATTGTGTCCACTTTGGTAATGGAGTATTATTCACATATTTTGTTATTTCATCTTCTTCCTCTTGTGTAATAAAATTTGGAATATAAATAGCTAAGTCTGGTACCTATAAAAATGTCAGAAGACAAGATTATTTCAAGTAAAATAAAACATAACCTTTAGTAAATAAACTTCATATTAAAACAAACCTCTGGAATCACATTTTCACGAAAAATATGTTTGTGTTCTTCCATTTTTTGATGATTGAAGTAAGGTACTTAAAAAAATGTTCGGAAAATATTCAGATACTGACTTATTACTTATAAAAAGGCAAATATTTTTGAATGCTAGTTTTGTACATGTTCAAACGCAACGTATACATCTGTAAATAAAGTCATATATAGATTTATTAAAAGAATTAAATTTCTCTTTTATAATGAAATTCATATATTTTTTAAATTTCTTTTAATTTATAACTTTTTATGCATTATCGATATTATACATCATTAATCGAAAAGCTTTTGTTCTTAAATTTTTAAAACTTCATACGTATGAAAGAACCAACCCTTTTTCTTATAAATCCATAAGCTTTTAATAATTAAGTTGTTTCTTTTCTAATCAATATTATATTCAATTCCATAATAAATTAAGAGTTAATTATTTTTCCTTCATAGAAATAAAATATTTCGTGTCTTCATGATATTAAAAGATATTATCTTACTTAACATGTAGATGCAAACGCTAGAAATTGCTTAGAAATGCATTTGCGTAAAATCAATCTTATGGAAGGGAATATCCTTCACACAACTGTATGTAAAACACAACTCCTTAAATATATAGCGACGTAAAACGATCTTTCCACCCCCATTATGTTAAACTTGTCAATTTAAATAAATAAAGAAGAAAAATGGATAAGAATCGGGCAATAAATAAAATGGATAACAAGGAATTAAAACTTGTTCATCAGGTATATATATCCTTCAAGTTCTATTGCGTCTTCAAAATTGTGTCAACTATTATTAATATTAGTAAAATATTTATTATTTAATGAATGTAAACATACAAATTTTATAGTTCCTTATAGACCATGATTTTGAAAATACTGCCGATGCATTGATGGTAGAAGCAACAATAAAAGGTTTTAAACATCTTAAGAATGATTTGCAGACCGAAGGCGATATGTACGAAAATTGTTACGAACAATTAATGTTCAGCTATAAAACAGGAGATTGGAAAACGTTCTTCAACGTATAATTAAAAATATTTATCAAATATATTATATTATATTACATGTAATAAGAAATATAATTTGTTGAAACTTTTATTTTTTTCTAGTTATGGAATTTGATAGTACCTGAAGATGCTAAACAGACAAAAGCTTGTAAAATTTTAATGTTACATATATATGTGTATTTTGCAATGTTACCTAAACACATGTTAATGTTACATTGGTATAAAAAAAAAGGTATTTATAACACTCAATATATGTAAAGAGTAAATATAGATTTTATATTCTTAAAAAATTAAAAATCTTATTTTTTAAATCATTCAGATAAAATTCAAGCAGCTGTAAATGATCTTGTGACATCATCTAATCAACAAGATTCTGAATGTGAAGAAGTAATTTTAATCTGTTTTAACCCTCTAATTTTTGTTTGTAAATTCATGTCATATTTATTCTGCTCTCATTTACTACATTTATCTTTTTGTAAGAACATAAAATATGAGATTGTTTTTGTTTTTGTTTTAATTGCAATATAAATTTTGCACAAAATTTTTAAATGAATAACATAAATAGCTGTACACACAAAGATTCAGTGTGTTTGTAGCGACTGATTTAACATTAATAATACACAGAATTTTATGACTGAAATAGAGAAGAACATGAATGATAGTATGGAACGGTTACGTACATTTCTAAATACAACAGGTAAAGAATTAGAAAATGATGCAGAATTAAGACCTTATTTTGCGTTTCCCTTTATGGAAGATCCATATGCAGAACCATTTCTTTCTAACATATTTGAAAAAAGTTGGACAGATAAATTGACAAACCACTTACAGCTCTTTCTCAAAAATTACAAACAACAAGTAAGTAAGGTACAAGTTGCTACAAAGATATAATATAAATAAAATATGTCATGAAAATATATGCAATTTTAAGAATTTTAGCAATACAAAATATAATGATGAAAATTCAGACAAATTTTCTTCAAGTTATACATCCTTATCAGAAGACTCCAAAAAAGATGTGATTGCAAAGAAGGCAATTAAAAACAATAATGTACCAATCATACCAAATGATAGAAACATTCCAATGTTTTTGGAAGATGATGAATCTGAAGAGCAACCTATTTTTTATAATAGTATAAAGTATAGTCAAAAATCAAAGTGAGAAATGTTTAATGTTCTTCTGATATAATGATAATCTAAAAATTATCTTCTTTTATCATTTTTTCTTTTTGTAGAAGTATACAGACTGTATCAATGAATTCTTCAGAAGAAGAGATATATTCATCACACTTTACTAAAAGGAATAAAAAATTGATGCAGTGTACACAAGAGTTAGCAGTAGCAAAATCTCATTTATGCAGTGTTCATTCCAATTATGAAAAGCTAAAAATCAGATTTCATAAACTGCATGCTGATTATCATAAACTGATGAGCATTGCAAGAGTATTAACAAGTGCCTTAGAGGATTCTGTAAAAGGACAAGTCATTGATTTCCAGGCTATGTTAGAAACTTGTATAAGAATCTTTCCAGATTTGTTTAATCAAAATATAAAAGATAGTATACATGTAAGCACTGAGAATTTGATGTGTATATTAACTTTTGTATATTATTATATTATATTTTATTTGTTTATAGTGTTCATCAGAATTGTTATTATCAAAATCTCGTTCTGATATGAAAACCATTGAGTATTCAAACTCAAACAATGTATTTATTCCTCCAAAACTATTGAATTTCAAAAAAATCAAATTACATTTAATTAATGGAAGCATTAAAACAAAACTATTTCTTTTGCAAGCATTGCGAAGGGTAAGACAAATTTTAATATCTATTTAACATAAATAGATAAACATTTTGTTTTAGAAAATAACATTTAGTCAACCTGGAGAAAGAGATGAGACGGTGCATGAATATATAAGTAAAGACTTGTTGGGACTTCACAGTCAAATTGCTAGTTATAGAGGCAAATCTATCTTGCCATATCTATTAACTCCACAAAACATTATCATACCACATCCTTTACAACAATCAGTCACGAGATTATTGAATGCATTGGCATCATTTAGATGTGGAAGAGACTATTTATCATTTGATTCTACTGTTGTTGATACGGTATTGTGACACTAACAAAACTGTAAATATCAAAACTTTAGAAAAGATTATAGAATTAATAAGATAAGCATTTTAGGTATTCAAGTGCATGAATAGTATTTCTGATAATAATATAGATACATTGACTTGCAATATGATGATTGCAATGTTACAAAAATTATCTTTACGTAAACAACAAAGGATTTATATGATAGAAAATGGATTAATGGAATGGTTGATCCATCATCTACATGATCAGTATCGTGTTATGGATTCTTATCGCTTGGAATATGCTACGGCTCTTTTAATGAATTTATCGTTGCATCAAACAGCTCAAAGAAGAGTGTCAACAATGGCGCCTTTACTTATGTCAACATTAATTGATTTACTCTTAATGGATCATGAATCGGTATAATATATGTGTGGTGTTTCATATTTTCTAAAATTACGAATTATGATACGCATTATATATATACGTATATTATATATATACACGTATTTATGATGTATTTAAACCAGGCATTACCATATATCAATGGAGCCTTAAATAATTTCTTGACGAATCACGTATTCAACGAGGAAGCAAAACGAATTAAATTCTCATCTATAATAGAACAATACAGTAAATATAAAACTGGCGAGATAAGGTAAAATATTTTTTATGAGTTACAAGTTAGATTATATCAAATAAAATATTTAAATAAGATGGGAAAAACAGGAAACACTTGGATCATATTCTAAAGATACATAGAGGTGAAATTACTATTAAAACGGAAGACGAGGAAATGGCAGATAATGATAATGTGGGTAATGACTTATAAAACGTCTTATACTTTGCTGAAAAAAAGAAAAACTTTCAGGAGGAATTTGATGTATTGGAAAGTCAATTGGATGAAAATGATCCGGTAAAGAATAATTATGGAGAATTGTGTGGAGAATCGTTATTAGAGTCATGTTATACAATTTTACCAAAGGCAATTCAAGAGAAGGAAACAATATCCGACGAATTATCATTTCCGCAATTGAAAACAGAAGCAATAGATTCTGCTATGCAGAATAATCAAATTAAAAATTTATCTTCTGAACACGAATCAATACAACATGAAGAAATTTTACCAAGGTATTGTTAAAACATGTCGACCTTAATTTCATTAATATGTAAAACTAATAAAATTAAATAAAAAGATAATTTTACTGATAAAGTAAAAATATATACTTCTATGAAAATTATAAACTTCTTTTATACATTTCAAGAAAATTGGTAAATAGCAAGCCTAACGTGAAAACTAAAACTAATATTGTAATACTACAAAATTCTATTAAAAAGACAATCTCATATCCAAAACCACAGCCACGTGTAGTCGAATTAAAATCTTCTTCGACAAAGGTATTTAACGAGAAATTAACTATCAAATTAAAATTTAAAATTTATATTTATAACGTTTTTAAGGATCGGCAAATTTTTAAAGTGCAAGTGGCGAACGAAAGATGGAACTCGAAGAATGATAAGACTTTCGTAAAAGAAATTCATAATGAAAGTGCTATGTATCTTTATGAAAATCATACTTCGAAGTTTGTTAATTTTTTTAGAATAAAGATATAATATAACGAGATGTTTAATTGAACTTTTTTACAGGGAAAGCAGCAAAACGACACTAGCATCCTCGATGCTCCTAGGAATCGGAAGTGAAGCTGAATCAACAGGTAAGAATTTTATTTAAAATAATCTTTCGATCGATTTCACTTTATTGAAAAAAATTAGGAAAAGAATATTTAATGCGTAACAACCATTTATAAATTTCTAAACGTCCACTGATTTTACCATGTTTGACAAGGTTTACTGTAAGCACTATCTAGTGAAAGCTTTATAACTTTCTCTTAAACATGTACTTGATCATGATTTCGAAAAAATTGGAACGACCATATGAAAGCAATAAAATCTAAGATGAATCATATCAAGACGAATCATATCGAACGTATTCTATAAAATAATGTGAATCTAAAACTTATAATTTTATTATCGCTTTTATATTTTTTCAGTAATGGAGAAACTCAGCAGCATAGCGTCATTGTGAGTCGAAATTCTAATGTGATACAAACGCACTGTATAATTTCAAACTTAATTGTGCACCATTGTAAATTTTTATATTAAAATTTTTACTTTTTTATACGCCACGAATTATTGAATAAATTTCATATTTTATTTGCCGTTATCAAGCTTTTTCTTTAGAAAATATCGATTATCATACGAAATTGGAACTTTCTTTATAGGAATACTGAAGATAGCAATAAGATTGCCAACGATAAGATTTCATGGACGCAAGAGACAAAATCCGATACAGAGGAAGCATTTTTATCTAAGCCAAAGCTTCCACGAACTCCGCCATAATTAAAACCAGATCTCAAGAATATAATAAAAAGGGATGGATATTATACTCCCATTATTTATACAATAATTTTATTTTAAACAACAAACATAAACAGTATTTAATTAAAATTAAATATTTCAT